AATTCTGACAGCTGTCATTTTTTGACAATTCAGATGTAATAAGCCTTTTTTGCTTTGAATTATTAATAAATAATATGAAATGAAATTTCATCAAGTACAACTTACAAGAATGAACTATTGTTTGTTTTGTGAATTCAATGTACCCATGTTTGTAACCCATGGATTATTGGCCAGGGAGTCCAGTAATAGAAAAATAATTTCCCAATTTTTTTTGTAACTTCAAAAGTATGATAATAAAAATTCAAATAACCATTTTGAAATGATCGGTACACTTTTAAGCCTTAGTTTTTCAAGTGAAACCTTAAATTCAAGAAAGGATTATTTTTTAATTTATGAAAATGCTCTCCATTCTTAGTGGGAATGTTTCAATGTTGACAACACTTCTGAAATGTCAAAATTCCGTCGAATTAAAAATCAGAGTCTAAACCAAAATCCGTGAAGGAAGTTGAGAATTTTATCTTGGCCTCTGTTAAATAATTTCGCTACTTCGTGATGTTGTCCGTTCTTCTTGGACTTGCCTCCTCTCAGAGTTGATTAAATTTTAAGACGCAGCTGGGAGCCTCTGTCGCTTTTGTGCGGAGATATAAATTTTCTAGCTTGCTCGCTTTGTAACATAGATATAAAGTTCCTCTAAAATTATGTAGACGAAAATTCGACTGGAGGCTTAAAAGTAGGTATTTTAGATCTGGCTGACCTATAAAGTTAAACAGAGGAAAATGTAAATTACTTTGGTATATTTAGGGTTCTTTATGTTCGTACATATCGGTCACAAATCCATCTAGAAACATTTAGACAGAAACCTAGTATTTTCCAATAGTAATAATGGACTATCAACATTTTGGCAAAAGCAATGTTGGCTCGACATAATACATAGTCGAAAGCGAGCCATTACCAACTCCCTCTCATGTGGCGAATTAATTTTCTTCAAATCTGTGCCAGAAAATCGCTATTGCATTCTGTTAAAATTATCGAATTTTATTCCTACAGACTGTAATATTGGCTGTCAAATATTTTTTTCAGAATACAATTTCTTACTATAGTGACATTTTGCTTAGTAACTATGCCTTTTCCAGAAGATGTGTTGTGCCTATTATTAGATTATTGGTAAGATAACAAGATACATACAAGTATGGCTTTATTCTATTATGGCTATGCATCTTAAGACGCAAATGTGACGTCGTTTTCTTAATTAAATTGAATACACGTGAACACATTCAAAATCAAGATTCTACAAAGTTATTTTGCAAGAAATTACAGATTACATAGCACAGTTTGTAGTGAGATTAATAATTCACGACGTTGCGTCTTTATAATTTTACTTTTTCTTTATTGTTATTAAATATACAGCTTTTTGTTTGTGCTTACTATAATTTTACGCATCATTGCTTTCAGCACCACCGTCCATCACCTCTGCAGTCACCCATCGACTTTTAGTTGGCCGATAGTTGGATCGGGCTGTTAATTAGTACGGAGATGTATGAAAGTGCGCACATTACACCGATTTGGTACGGGCCGATTCTTCATACAAATTAGAATCGGGCCCAACTATCGGCCAACTAAAAGTTCGTGGTCTGCGCCTAGGCTTAATCAACGTTTGGAAAGTTGCAATTTCCATTGGAAACCACGCCTACCCCTTCGGTTATCGGTTTTGCTGTCTGTATGAGAAGCCATCGGTGCTTCAGGTCGCTTATCCTTTATTCAAGCTATAAAGGAAATAAATTGCTTGAGTTATATCTCAAATAACCTTTCGATTTTATCAATGAATGATCTCTCGACAGCTCTCGAGCATATTTCTCTCCTATAATTTCCCGACTATAATTTCATTTTATTTCTCTCACTACACTAACGAGATAGCCGTTTCTGATTAAATAAAATACATACCTACCTACCTACCTAGGATGTCAAGAACTGCTGGTTGTGTTTGTGGGTTGATGATCAATTTATACAATTGTAGCCAGCAGAGCAAATTTCATTTTTGTTGCAAATAATCACCTTTTAATACTGAAATCAAAATACTTTTGTGTTTACTTTAGCTTTATATGCGTCGTCCACACACTGCGTGGATAAAGAAAGATAACTGCTTCATTATTTTTAGTTTCTTTTTTTGTGCGTAGTTTAATGCAGAGGCCTCCCTTAGCAACATGTCGACTATGGGCATAACAATGCGTTGTTATTGTTTAACAAAACATATTCTATTTATCGTTTAAACCTGTTTGTATTCGTGGCTTGCGGCAAGTGCATTATGAATTCACCACGGCGCGCTGATAGAAACGATGCCGCTTACCACGTGCGCCGAATCGATAGTTTTATTTTAATAATAGGCACCATGAAAAGGGCAAATTTGTAGTTTGAACAGCTTTGGGCTACGTCTATTTCGAGCGACTGGAAAATAGTTAATCAATAAGCTCCCTTGGCGTCGTCGCTAAGATCATGTCGATGAATGCCGTGTATCGGAAATATTAAAACGTTATTTCAATGAAATAACAGTATATGATTTACTAGTAATTACAAAACTTTTAATAACTTTTAGTAGTTAATTACCAAGTAACACCTGACTGACTTTCAAACAACACGAGTTTATTATAATTTAAAAAAAAATTGTTAGATTATCTGGTTAAAATAACGTTAATTTAATTAACATATTTTGAAAGTATTATGACGTTCTGTAGGTAAAACATTTTTTTCTGAGTACAGTGACGGCTATTCATGAAGATGTATGAATATCCAATATCTCATACGCATAGTATTGTCATCCAGAGAGGAACCGGATCTGTATCCTGTTGGGCTTTGCTTCCTCCACTTCCCTCGTTCTACCTTCTGAATAATTCAATACTCTATGAATGGAGCCGCGTGCGCAACTGTCTACTACGGATAAAGTCAATGAAGTAATCAATATTATAATTATCCTAGGAACCCAAATAATTTATGTAAAGGTCGATTAACTTTTGACGCGGTTATAAAAACATTTTTTTTATCCACAACGTGGCAGCTCTTGGCCTGTATCTCACCTGATGGTAAGTGACGATCAGGCCGAAGGTGGAAGTGAGCTTCACCCGGAATCCTCAACCACGGAGGAACTGGCTATCTTACCTCTAACTGCCGGAACACAATAATGCTGTTAACATTGTTGTTATGGCGACAGACTTAGGTAAGATGGTGGTAGCTAGCCAGGAGGACTTAGAACAAGACCTACCACCAACCGAACAGAAAAATCTGCCCCCATTGGGAATCGAACCCGGGACCTCTTCGTCTGAAGCAGGTGGTCTTACCACTAGACCACAAAGGAGGTTAACATGCGTTGTCTTATCAAGAAGGATTTACTTAGATGATTACTATTGTTATTATGACGTACGACACCACCACAATTTCTGATGCAATCCCCCTCTATTATTGCTTGTAACTCTAGTTTCTACCTCGTGGAAGGTTCTCCTAAAATTCGTTTTAAAAAAATGTGCTTCCAAAACAGTCAACGAAATCATATGTTCCGAAACAATCTGTCATGAATGGACATGGCGCACAATTTTTGTTGAAGATGCCAAAAAAAACTACAAAAAATTAGAATGAATACTGTATTTTTACTTTTTTGATATCTTTAAAAATGACTGAAATATTCAAGCTCAAAGTGCGCTCTTCCGCTAGGAGCGATTTTCCGCGCGGATTTTGANAATGTGTGTGATCTAAACTTTAAATTAAGTCATAATTTAACTTAATATTACAACTTATGCGTGTTGTCCATTGCGCAGACACGGAACTGTCCCTTTGTGCGCCGATTTGATCGACGTATGAATCGCTTCGATGTCGTGATTACGGCCCTGCTTCAGACACGTCAATGGAGGATGTTTGATGACTGAATGAATGCTACGCCTTGATGATATCAGTTGATAAGAAAATTTCACCTTAAATATTTCTTAGTCTTTTCATTGAGGTGATAAAAAAAGATTAAGAAATCAGTATTGACATTCGATTTCGATTGGACAATTCCTATAAGACTTTAATGGTTCAAACCAAATGAGTAGTACATTGTCTAAAGCTGGTTTCTTAATTTAGAGTTCACCCCCCATCCGTGCGTTTGCTGAATGATTTTATATCCAACAAAAAGTAATTATTTGTGCCGAAATGCCATTGCCAAAAGTTTGGAAAGAGTTCCTCAGATTTATGGATTTGTAAAGTTTTTTAAACAAACAAATACTTATGAATCGAGGAAAAAAACTTCGAAAACGTGGCGCGTGAAAGGAATTTAATAATTAAAATAATACCAACCTCACAACTGCAATACTTTTCTTTCATTATGAAACCAATTTATAGAACGAAAGTAAATCCATATCTGATTCCGATCTCGTAGCACTATGCCTTGAGTAATGACGTTGCAGTATTTGCAATAATCCCTGTTATTGCTGATCAGGGTGGATATTACCTCCATTTGGAAGATTACATTGTCTGCACATCACGATGATAATGATCATTATTTTCTTATTCTCGCCGTGGAAAATTAAATAAAGTGCATCGTGGGCTGTTGTTATGATGATCTACGACTTCTACGAGGCTATGTCATAGTTGCAACTACACGTTTGTAATGAGTCCGACCCACGTGTCCTATCTATGCACTGCAGTAATGCATGCACTTTCGTTTATTCCTCGAAGGTCAATATTGACACAAACTCATTTTGTATGGATCGCGTGGGTAAGGTTTACCTGAGAAAGTGAAGCATTGGACACGTTATGTAATCTTACTTGGAAAAGTTATTGTTTTTGTTGCAAATATCAAGAAGTCCGTAGAAGCGTTTGCTGGTAGAACTGTTAAATTATTCATGTTCACATTGAAAAACTCACAATCTCCTTGACATAAAACCAGGGTGAAACTGGGCTCATCTCTTCAGTATATTTGAACCATTTTACATGAAGGTGACACACCTCACCACTTCGATTCTGACCAGTCCGATGCTGCTTAAAACCTCATACTCCTTCACTTTACTTTAATTATCACTTTTATATTGTTGCAGTCCTACTCAGCGAAACTATACTATCAGACGACAACCTAGAAAATAAGACACTCAAGATCACAGACTTCGGGCTGGCGAGAGAAGTTTACAAGACCACCAGGATGTCTGCGGCCGGCACCTACGCGTGGATGCCTCCTGAGGTAAGAACTATATTATTTCCTTATCTTATCAGCAGGTCTTATTGCCGTCGCTGCAGGAGACTCCTTACTTACGAGAGGCAAACTGACTCTGCCTACTATCCTTATACTTTATTTATTACATTCATTTTCAATCAAAGCCAGATCTTTGAACTATCATATTCAAATTCATTTATTTCACAGAAATACATGTCGATTAGATGTTAGTACATAATCAATTTCGTTACAGTGTATCTTGCCATGACTGGCATTTGAAAGTAAGTTTAGGAGAACATGTCAAAATATTAATAATCTGAAGAAGTTACTCCAGAATACTATTACGGTGATTCCTGTCAGGCATTTATCATTGACTATTTCTATAAATTGTAAGTGTGTGTGTTACGTAAACTACGTACAGGAATACTCGCAAAAGAAGGTGGTTTAAACAAAATTAAAACCGACTACCAATTATTATTTGTCAGCAAAAAATATACTTTGACCCAATCCAAAGTTCCGCAGTTCCATAAATATAATATCGAGATTTCGATCAAATAATGCGAGCTGCTAAATACAACACGATATTGAAGTACAACGAAAACTGGCTTACCTTTAAACTAGCATTGACCTTTGGAGACGTAGAAATGTAATTATAGGCAATATTAACTCTCGTTTCCATAATTTATTAGTAACACCTGACGTATTCCTACGAAGTACGACTGAAACAAATTGCTTTAGTTTAAATGCCACTAGTTATCCATTTTAAAGATATCGACAACGACAAGGTGTCTGATCTGTGTAGGTGGTTAACTTAGGATACAATTTTCTAAGAAATGTGCAATGGTACATATATTGGTATAAGAGTGTCTCGTAATTTGACATCGATTAAGAGAGGGTCTATTTTAAAAGAAAAAAAAATACGGGGTATCATTGCTTTCAGCTGCGCACTATAATTTGCCTGTGCATGACCTTAGTAGCCTTATTCACGCACAAATAAAAATCTTTACTGAAGCTTGTCAAGGGAAGTTTGTCGTTGAAAATTTGAATCTCGATATCAACAGTCGATATCAATCAAAGAAAAGCTTAGAAAAACATTGAAAAAAATTTTAATCGATACCGGCATAAGTAACCGCATAACCGCGTACGATATCGGTTCATTAGAAGCAGCGATTAATTTGCAGCCCAAGCACTACAGTTCACGGACGGAGCGTCGACGTGGGCATAGATTTCGATCGATTCGGATATGAGTATATCATTCATTTGCCTTGTACTGTCGCGGGCTGTAGGCGGAAAGCACTTGAGTATCTCAAATGATGCAGATTTGAATTAATTAACAGCTTTTAATTGGTCCTGGACAAAATATGAGATTGGTTGTCCCAGATATTCACTTAAAAGCAACTACTTTGCTAAATCTAAGTGAATTTGTGATTTACTCCGACTGTTGACAAACGCCTGTTCACAAGTCAAGATAAATTTAATTTGAGGCAATAAAATAATATTGTCCATTGTCGTGAATTTATTTACATTGGCTAGGCCGAGCCTTGCGTCGGCGTTACATGTTTATTTTAGTTAAACGGGAAACCAATGCAAATTGAACATTTCGCGATAACATCTTTACGTAACCCGGTGGTCTGTCTGTTTAAAATTCAAAATTGCCTATAAAATAGTAAGTAATTGCTGCCTTTATCGATTTCCTTTACGTTGAACCACTTCTCACGGTATTTTTTAATGTCGTCCACGTCAGGTTCTTGATTCTTGTCTAGAGTGTTATGTCAAATTGTCGCTCATTTAAAATTATTGCGTTCAACTCTGGTTACAATTATTTCTTACTGATTTGCATTCATAAACTATGCTGCGGAATTTCATATCTTTAACAACTAACTTTCCTGCTGTTTGAGCAAACCAGTTATGTCTTATTTTAACAGTTATGTGTTATTCTTGTTAAATTAAATTATTAAGAATGAATTCCTATTTCCATGTTGCGTACAGCATACATATTGCATATTATTAAAATGGTTTCAATTTCACAGGTGATAAAGAACTCAACGTTCTCTCACGCGTCAGACGTGTGGTCCTACGGCGTTCTGCTGTGGGAACTTCTGACGGGCGAGACGCCGTACAAAGGCATCGACGCGTTGGCCGTGGCGTACGGGGTCGCTGTGAACAAGCTCACGCTGCCCATCCCTAGCACTTGCCCTGAGCCGTGGCGCGTACTGATGGAAGGTGGGTTCATATTTGATCTAAGTCAGTCTGTTTCATTCTTACGATAGCCAGTTCATGGGAACTTGTGAGGGGTAAGACGCCACACAAAAATATCGATGCGTTGGCCGTGGCGTAAGGGGTCGCTGTGAACAAGTTCACGCTGCCCATCCCTAGCACATGCCCTGAGCCGTGGCACGTACTGATGGAAGGTTGGTTCTTGTTTGCACTTTAAGCCATCAATACTTTTTTTGAATGACTTGGAATATTAATCACATTTTCCAGCATTATGCCTGAATCTAATTCAAATTACCATGCTCAATATCGAATTTACTATTATACGTCATAAACGTTAAATATTAAACTAATAAGTTAACGTCACGATTGCGTGCTATTGTTATACCGCGTACAAAAGCGTTGAAACCTTTGTAAACTGTTGTGACGTGGTACGGTCATGCGATCATACATAGGTACTATACATAGATAGATAGATTACCTTCTAGGTCATAAGTCAATTGTTGGAATCTGAATATCACAAGTTTCCTGCGAAACTGTTATCGAGCTGAAAGTGCAGAAACCATGCTATCGACAGATTTGACACGCATTTGCAACGCTTTCGGCATGACGTGTTGGAGAGTGGCATACTTCACGAAATATAATATAATGTATGCGTATTAGAAGATTTGAAACCACCACGTAATAAAATAACTTTATTTGTCGACATGTTAATGCCATTTAGTTTTTTTAAACTCGATTGGCAATAGCAATCGAAGCGTGGTCCTGTCAACTGTCAATCAAATTAATTCTTAATCGTTTCATAACGTCAAGTTGTCGACGTGGGCGTACAAGGCGAGTCGACAACAATCCTACTTCGGGAGCTAATCGCTGATCACGTCTGTGGTCTGTGAGACTATTTATTTGTTCTTGAATAACAACGTAGGTACGGCTAAATAAAATAAGTGACACGAAGATCTAACTAAAATGCACAGAGAACCCCAGATCTACTAGAACGGTTGGTTTAAATTAAAATTTAATATACACTTACCGAATTTCGTAAACTACTAAATACTTGATTTTACCACTAAGGCTAAGTTGCACCACGTAACTTTGACCGTAACTATAACGATAACCGGTGCTTTTTGTTTGGAGTTGGACAGATTTTTGACGTTTGTCAAAGTTAAAGTAAGATGTGATGGTGCAACCCAGCCTTAGCGTTTAAATCAAATCTTCGTTTTGTTTAGATTCGTGTGTTTTAATTAGATTGTATAGAAAATTTTAGTTATGTATACTGTTTCACGCAAAATTATGTGTTTCTTAGTTTCTGTGACGACAGAATCTTTACTTGAAAAAAATACAAAACAAAAAAAAATCTTACAGTTGACTACAATTCAATCCTATCCTTCACTCACATTATTAAATCACTTTTTTCACTAAACTTGCTCTCAACACGTTAACCCTTTGCCCGCAGCGTGCTGGCACTCAAACCCTCGCGAGCGGCCTCTCTTCCCCGAGATCCTGGAGCAACTGGAACGCATCAGGCAGTCCGAGTTCACCAGGGCTCCACACGAGTCCTTCCACACCATGCAGGACGGATGGCGGCTGGAGATCGAAGAGGTGTTAAGGGACCTGAGAAGGAAGGAGAAGGTATACATCACTATTATTACTTTATGCTTAAGAGCGTTGTAGCANCCTGGAAATCGGGCTTTCGAAATTCGCTGTTTTCGTAGGCAAAAATCCAATTTGAACGAGATTTTGTCAATAGACATTCTGTAAAAACGTATGATAATTACGATGATATAAGTCAAAAGAAGCTATAACAATAAATTATATGACTAAAATCATTTCGAAATCTGCCAAATTCTCGATTTCTGCATGAAAAATGTGACAACGCTCTTAATTGTTAATGGGTTATTTCATAATACGAACCTGCAGAGCTACTCTGAAACGCTGATAACGTAGTTTCAGATCTATCTGTCACCGTCGCTCGTGCTGGCATCTCGCTTTGCGAGAGAGGGATGGCAACATTCGAAAGTTTTTCAGAGTAGCCTCGCTGCAGAGCCTCGTGCTTAAGTTGTAGGTTCGTACTAATGGGAGTTAGAATCATAATTTTGTATTTTGTTAGTGTAAATGCACTCCATTTCATTGTAGTGAGACAGGCCACTTAAAATTAAAGCCACTGAAGAGTGATGGCCAGACCTTTGCCTAAACCACACAAGAATACAGTAAGTGTAGAATTAACTTTAGTGAAATATTGTTTATTGTAAATATCTAAAACTAAAAATACAATTAAAAAATATATCCAACCCACGTAGTTATTTATTTTTACAAATTGTATCAATTTGGTACTACTGTTAAATATGTACGTCTTTGACGAATAAGTGACATCAATTTTCATGTAATTTTATATCGCTTAAAATTGACGTAATAAAATAAGTTCCTTTTTATTGGTGGGGTCAGTTTTACTACAGTTGTTTCCTCGTGTGAAGGAATAAACGAAACAGCATAATACTGGATGATACTCATGAGTGATATTTTGTGGCCTTTTTATAACCTGTGTTATGTCGTTGAGCGATGCTTTTATAGCGGTACCCATCTGATCCAATACCCTTAGAATAAAAAATATGCCGCTAAAATTTATTACATAATATGTATAAGTGTCATATAACCACTTTACTAATAAGAAATTTGTTTTCCATCATAATGCCTTCTGATAGGAATGCAAAACTATAGAAGAGGTTAGTGATCATTGATGTTTTATGTGTTTGAATGTGTGTAATAATAGATGAGACAAGCTTTTGTTGTTTAGAAAATAGATAGTTATTAGACTGTTTTAGAATATTTATGTTGTGAATGCAAAAACTATAGGTCACTTAATCAATGCCTTAGGTATGGGCATGAGAGGGTGATTATGTGACGGTCAAACGTGAGCAAGACTTCAGATTTGTATTGTCGCGTCATAATATTGATTGTACTTATTGTTTAATTTTTTGGTACCAAATAAATGTTTTTTCTTTCTTTCTTTCTTTCTTTCTTAATAATTATGTCAATGTCACCCCTACCATACCTCAGGTACTGATTAACTTAAGCGTTAGACCTTATAAAACTTTGATTTTCTTAACTACATAATGTACTAAACCAATCTTTCCAGGAGTTGAGATGCCGCGAAGAGGAGCTTATCAGGGCACAACTACAGCAAAGACTATTGGAACAGAACCTCGCGCAGAAAGAGAGAGAGCTAGAGATGAGGGAGATAGACTTAGCGGCCAGAGAGCTGCATATACTGATTGTTGCCAGCAATATGTCGCATAGCCAGCCGCCGCAGCCTAACAAAAGAAAAGGTTAGTACGAAATAAGGGGAACCAAGTAGCATGGTCTTAGTACAATCCAAAGTACATCAGAGTACATTCTTTATGTTGCAGAATAGCTTGATCTGCCGGTGTCATACTTTTTATGAGCTGTCAATGCCCAATTCTCCCAATTTTGTATTCCAATTCAAGCTTTTTTTTATTCTAAGGGTGGGTCCACATTGGGCAAACGGGCTCGCGCGGCACGCTGGTCATTCTGCTCACCCTGCTCTTGAGTGAGCAGGATTTCGAGTTTGCCGCGCGAGCCCGTTCGCCTAGTATGGACGCACCATAATAAAATTAAGGACTTTTGTCCTATATCGTTACTGATTCGGTAATTCCGGTTTATCAAAATTATAAAAAAAAATTGTGATTCCCAGATGATCGATGTTTTTTTTTTGTCAAAGAAAGCCCACCGCCACACACAAGTGATAGCGAAGTAACTCCATACAAAAAATACGTCGGACCGAAGCGATTTCGTAAAATTACATCTGTCACGTTTTGTATTTTGTCTAGGGGACAGGTATTCTTTTATACAAATTGTGCCTCGGTATTATTGTTTAATCACATTAATTTGGTCCGCAGGCAAATTCAGCAAGATAAAGCTGGTGAAAAAAGACACGATCTCGTCGCCGCTGGACTTTCGGCACACGCTGACGGTGCGGCCCTCGGACGACGAGTCCAGCGTCAAGCAGCTGGTCGCCGTCGCCAAGGACACGCCGCCCGGCTCGCCCGCCATCATGCGCGCCATCGCACGTCAGTACCAACTAGTATTACACGTGTACAAGCGACACGCGCCCGCAACGAAGGTAGTGACGTCACACGCTGACGGCGCGGCCCTCGGACGACGAGTCCAGCGTCAAGCAGCTGGTCGCCGTCGCCAAGGACACGCCGCCCGGCTCGCCCGCCATCATGCGCGCCATCGCACGTCAGTACCAACTATAGTCTGGTCCGTGAGCACATAGAATTTTGTCCAATGACCCCAAGCTACCCATCCTTATCGCTAGCGCGTAATTATGTTGCTGTCGCGCTCGCACACTCACTGCGGGCGTCCGTCGCACAGTCGCGACAGCAATATAATTACGCGCGAGCGATAAGGATGGGTAGCTTGGGGTCATTGGACAAAATTCTACGTGCTCACGGACCAGGCTTTAGTGACGTTGTGCTTACGTCACACGGTTGTCAGTACTGACGGCGCGCGCGTGTCAAGAAAATTTCACAGAACACTACAGCGATGGTCATGCATGCACCGCAGCTAGTAACTGCAGGGTTACTCCGAAAAACGTTTCGAATGTTGCCATCCCTCTCGCACAAAGAGAGATGCCAGCATGAGCAATAGTGACACGTAGAGACCCGAGAGATCCCTATACTAGTGTCTTTAGAGCGTCGTCGTCTTGCTAACGCCCGCGCATGTCAACGCAGCGCTGGCGTCTGGTCGGGACAAATATTGCAACAGCGGGATGAAGAGGATAAAGCTGGAGATTAACGCTGGTGGTCATTGCAAAGGTTACATCTGATAATCTAGGTTTTTTAAATTCACAACGAGGAAGTTCTTGACCTGCATCTCACCTAATGAATGATACTCATTCTAAAATATTCGCAATTTTGTTGAGGTTCATTTAGGAACTGCGTCGACGTCTTGCCAGCGCCTGCGCACCGTCAATATAGCGCAAGCTTGTACGTATTTGTCATTTGTGTGAACCATAATACAGCCCCAAAACTTTTTTGTACATTCCCAGTGCCAGCGAACAGCGTGAAGAGCAAGACGTAGAGCCCTAGCTTTCAATATTTAGAATAGTATAAAAATAATTTATTCACACAGAAAACATTTATAACAGTAGGTATAACAAACAAAAAAAAAGGTATATAAACTGTGGGTGGCAACTGCCCCCCACATTCATCGTGACATGCTCGAAAAGGCATATCAAGGAGTTGGTCTTCCGCAGACGCCCTCGCTGTTTTTTCTTTCTTTCTTTCTTAGTAGGTGTTGCGCATCCCTTCTAGGAGATACCGACTAAAATAATTTAGGGAAGAAAAGTTAACTGTATGCAAGTTCGGTATCTCTCAAAAGAGTGCGCAAATACAGGCCTATTTAGTTAAATCACAGCTAAAATGAGACTATCATTTCTAGTGCCAGCGGACGGCGTGAAAGGCAAGACGTGGGGCCCGTCATCGGTCCACCAACGCACGCGCGGGCACCTGCCGCTTCCAGCGCTGGCCCGGCCACGCCACGCGCCGCGTTTCAGCTCGTCTGCGCCAGACCTGCCGCCGCCGCCTGCAGGTAATCACAAGCCCCGCAAGTCCAAGTCCCAGGTGCGTCCAGCCAAGGAACTCGCCCGCAAAAGAACCGGCAGCCACGACGATCTACTCTACGAGAACGACGAGCCGCGCCGCAATAGATTCCTATGCCCGATATTTGCGTCCGCTGCTGATTTACCTAACATGCCTCATCAGTATGACACGGTCTTTGATATACCTATTGACAAGGGTAAGAGAAAGGCCAGTCAGGGAGATGTTAAAAAGAACCTTCTAAAGACTTTTCGCTCGAATAGCCTCGCGGGTCTTTTAGCCGTGGCTGGCAATGTTAGCTCGGACACGACGGAGTTGCTCCAAGATGAGTGACGATTTCTTTTTCGATTAGGGTAAGGCTGCGTACGCACTTGGTGATAAATCTTAGTGCCTTTTTGAAATAAAAATCGAATTTAATGTTAAAAAAAACTCGCCTTAATTCGCAAAACTTTCACGAATTACTTCTGAGTCTTATTTTTGATACAAAAAGTACATTTTGGATTTGATATCAACATATCTTTATTTTTGGATTTTTCTTGTCTCGGTTCAACCGCTTGTAGACTAGATTACTATAATTTCATTGATAAAAGACTAAATCCGGGGGCACTAGATGCTATATCAAGCACCCGAATTGCGTTCGCAGCCTTATAGCTAACGAGGAGTCAAATATGATGAACCCCTGCGGCCATGCATCGCACAAAAACGCTTATTAAACACAAATATATTATGAACTAAACCTTTATGAATTATGAAAAATAATTAAAATCATATTTCCAAAAGTTACAATGAATAAAATAAGAAAAGATCTTGGAAATGTGTTTTGCCAATAAATATGTAAGTACTAATTTTTTAAACTCAAAAAATTAAGGAATTCTTACATAATGAAGGTTATAACTTTGTGTTTAAGATTTTATTGATGAGTCAATCCATGGCCGCGGTGGTTCACATTTCCTCCGACTAGACACGACGACGGTTTTAAATTTACGAGAATACGACTTCGAATAGCGACAAATTAGTTCGAATAGCGATCTAGGCACTTTGGAACTCTGTGTTTCAGATAAAAGTAAAAAAGAAAGAAAGCTACAGAGTTCTCATTCGCTGAACATAAAATAGTCACCGAACTATGTACAAAAGTGTTGCCATATTTTGAATACATATCATTTTTACTAACATTCCTCCTATGAAATGCATTTGACACTTTTGCCACATTTAATAATAAAGAAAACTTTCAATATTTACAATAACTTCCAATCAATGACCCACCCATACATAAAATAAGATAAAACTGACTTTTATGGAATTCCCTAAACATTTTTATCGCGTTCAATTTTGTGTGATCCTCCTGGTCATGATGGATGTAAATATTACATAGCGAGTTACACAAAGTTCCAAGGATTTGATAACGTTGTAAGTTAGTGTGTAAGGATATAGAGAGAAAAAAAAAACAAAAAAGACTTACTTTTAGGTTAGCCCTTAGAAGTATGTATTTTTAAATCCAGTGTATTTTTTATAAAAAATTTAATTTCATAAATATTGTGAAATCTAAATATGACGTATTCAAACGAAATTATGAAGACACTATTTTTAAAATACTATTCTTTGTAAAGTACCCATCAGGTTGAACTAATGTTATACCCTTGTATCTGGCAACACATTAACATTACAATATTTCTGAATCGAATAAAACACAAAATGTATCAATTCCAATATCTTAATTAGATTTTGGTTTTCACAATATTTATGGAAGACCATGGCTATCGTGTTTATCTATAATCAACCCCCCATTGAAGAATGCCAAAAAACTGAGTAAATAATATCAGTGTTGCAATCTCAAAAATATACGATTCAAAACCTAAGTATTTTTCCAATCGGGGATTGATATATTCAAATATTTGTGTAATGAACTGTTTGATTACAAATGTTATTTCATAAATCAAATCTTCTTTTATCTCATTTTTTAAATTTTAAGGAAGCATTTATTTATCTCATTGTTATATTAGAAAAATTTAATTGTTAGTTCTTTAAAATAAATTGGTTATAATTTTTAACGTTAAAGACTTAACTTTAATCACATTTCGACTGAAGAAATATTAGGATCTTGCCAAATTGTAATAAAATTCTGGCGATGGACTAAATTCGATGAGTAAAAAAACAGATAATAAAAAACACAAAAAAATATTAAAAATCTTTTGTGTTTTTACTTTTCGAATTGTTTATTGCTTACAAAGAGAACTAGGCAAATTGTAGCGGTAATAAATTAATTTTCAAGAGTAGCCAATGTTTAATATCAGACCTTTTCTTTCTTGCTGCTCTCAAGGAACCTCCCAAGACAGTCTACTGTATCCTTGTAAGTATAACGTCATGTCTAAATTCTGAACGCGCTCTATCCGAGCTTGTAAGGGTTGTCACACACATAACAACATTGCACCAGACCGTAGCACCACCCATTCTCCCTTACTCGATGACGATAATGTCTCTCGTGGCTTACTAGAAAACTACGGGCGTGAGAGAGAAAGGTGAGGCACGCTGATTGCTGTGGGTAGGTACGCGACAACTTTAGAACAGCTTCAAACTACCCGCATCGATGCATAGAGCGCGTTCACGCGTGTCACAAAATTATTTGTCTCTTGATTTTGACAGGCACCATGGGAACATTTTTAGTTAGGCTAGTTAGTTCGATAGCTAGTAACGTAAACGTGGAATTGTTTGTAAAATGAATGTTTTTGTTGTATGTGTGATACTCAGAAAATCATGTGCGTGTTATGTTAGAGTAGTTGATTTGTAGATGAGTTTGTAACGTATTTTTGCTGTAATTTTAGTATATTTTGACAATTTTGACACTACACATGTTATTTAATTTGTAAATTGTAAGCATTTGTTTGCTTTCAGCCAGGATTTTTTATTTTTAAACATAAGTGCTATGCATGCTTAGCAGTTCATAGTATATGCTATATACAATATAATGTAAGACAATTATATATGTATTTGTTGTACTTACTTATTTGTTAGTTTGTATGATCTTTGCTTTGTTTTTCACCATGTCATATGGCACGCTTTCAAATGTTTACAATGATGTTCTTGTAATATCAGTTGTATTTGTGGAAGTCTATATGATGGATAACTAGTTTCGTTTAAGGTTTGTAGTCAAAATTGTGCCGTTTAAACTTACTTGTCTCGTGCAAAGTCGCTATCTAACAAAATTCGCATTTTTAACTGTGACAACAATGGATATAATCACATAGGCTTCCAAAGCTAGTATGTAGTGAACATTATGTATGATACATGAGAACCGCTGTAACATTTGGCAGTAACAATGTTCCTGGCAGTTGGTGGTGGACTAGTATTACAGACTACAGAGGCTCAGACGTCGAACATTTGTGATCAGGAGCGTCCCACTAAGATAGCTCTCGCTTTCAATTTGTAAAAATCGAAAACAACTATAGAAGCTCTTTGGTGATCTGGTTCTTAAGTTATATACGTAGATCTTTTTATATATCAAATAAACCTTTTCCATAAAATCAATGTTGGTGTATTTTTTTAACATGGGTCTACTAATCTAATAGTTACTAACAATCCCTTTAACATCAGGAGAAACATAGAAAAACAAATAGTAACAGAGAGCCATAGAGTGAACATTCAATTTATTCTATCAACTAAAAATGTTGAATTACAAACGGTGAAGGGTGAAACTAGTTGAAAATTACAAAAACTGCTTCTGCTTTAATCTCACTCTGGCTATCTAATACGGAAAGGTCAAAACAACGGGAGAACATAAACAATTTAACAAAATTAAATTAACTAAACGGAATTAAAAACGAAAGTGCTGCCATCTCAAGTTACAATGTGCACATGTAAGTATTTTAGATCTTGTTTTATTTCACTTTTCATTTTGCTTTATCTTATTATTTTGAATGGACTGTTTGGCATGTGTAGTATTAGGTATGAAGTTTATAAAGCACTGTTCACTTGCATGTAAATCCACAAACTAAACTAGAGGAATCAAGAATGAATTGTAACTAAAATAATGTTATTTTTATAATCCTCTAATTTATGTTAGTTTAAATTGTTTATCAAATAGCTGCTTATACACTGTTTCCATAGATTGTGTTGTATTTAATGAAAAACATTGTATGAACTAACTCTTCTAAAGTTCTAAACAGTGTATATTGTGATAAGAATCATTTCATATATTGATATGTACTAGGATTGCACTTTTGATGTCATTTTGATGAACTAAACAATACAGAAGAAGTTGGAGTCTAATATTTTGTCTTAGTTACTAACTTATAACATCAAACGTGCATTCGTAGTGTGTCTATGTATGTCACCGCACGCACACGTCCACACTAACGCGCCTATGTTTCCATTCACATAGGTTGTTTTCTTCCTTACACAGACTTCAGTCCAGAGGAGTGGGGTCCCGAATACCCATTGAGCACGTCCTCAAGATACACGATACCTATGCCGACGCTGTATAGTACTGAAGGTTAGTAAAATTGGTGTAATTTAACGTTTATTTAATGGTAGTCACTTATCTTCATGTTTTGAAAAACACTAACGTCCGTATATCTACACAAACGATGTTTGCTTAAGTGAAGCAGCAAATCGAACGCACAGCGTTGAATAGAGCTCTGTGATTGGTTCGTGTGTCACCCTGTGCGTCCACACGCACTGTGAGAACTTAAAGTAATGTTTGTGAATACGGGCGATAGTGCATTAAGTACCTATGTACGCAGTCAAGAGTCGTAAATACAAAAAAAAGAAAAACAGTTGTAATACAGTGCAATTTTAGAAAGCTTTTTTAATTTATCCATAATCGCTTGATAAGGTCTGGTTTCCACCAAAAATAGAGGAGCGGTGATGTGTTTCAGTAACCTATCAGAAATAAAGAAATCTGATTGGTTATTCAAACACATCTACTCTCCGCTTTAGTGGAAACCGGGACTAAATAAGTAGTTTAGATTGTCTCTTTTTGACAATAAAAGAATTAAATAGTCGTGCTGTCTTTTCTCATTACCTCAACTCTTTACACTTACATTTACTCTTCCAGGATACAAGTTCAAGAAGCCAAGTATAATAGAGCTGGTGCTTTACAACATGGCCGCGCTGCTGGGGGGCGTGGCCGCCGGCTATGACGTCAGAGTTTCAAATGTCAGTCCGTTGCATCCTACGTTGCAACCTCACAGGTAAAGTTTAATTAGTTGTCCTTACAAGCATAATTATCAAATAAAAAAAATTCCATAATTGGTATCAACAGAAGCAGAAAGTCAAACATGAACTTCAAATTGTCTTCCAATATTTAAACGTCTTTAGACATGATAGGACCCAAAGGGGATTCGCTAACAGTATTTGTATTTTTGGCTCTTCCATCGTACCCGTGTACGTTTACCGAGTGTGGGTGGATAAAACCGAAAATACAAAGATATATTTGTACGATGCATATTTTGCAGTCATACATTTCTACAACATTTACGCATTATAAATTAATAAGCAGAAGTAGCATACCTTGCACTTCTTGGAATATGCTATGCCTGCGATTTATTCACATGAATTTCTGGGAATTATTTCCTCCAGCCATTGCTCTCCATATAATTCCGTTGTCTACATTGTTTGACTATTTATTTTACAACTAATTTTAAGACATTTTTCCTTAATTTCCAGGCCAGAAGTAGAATCGGAGCCGCTAAGTTCGACGCTGTACGAAGGATACGGCTTCGCCCACAACACCTACCACGGGCCTACGAGGCACCTGCGAGCGCCTCTCAACGCGATCACCGGCTCGCCTGTTAGTATACTTACACTGTACTTATAAACCTGTCGAAGGTTTGTATCGAGAAATGATGTTTGAGTACGAATTTACAGCATTTGTCCCACTGGCTAGATGAGGTCTGCGGTCAAGTCAAAGTGAAGACCGCACCTATCAGTTTGAGTTCTTTACTCGGTTTGCACGGTTAAAGCTGATAGCAACTTTGAATCAACTTCGAAAAGGATCAACCCCGTATCGCCTATCGGGCGCTGTCAATTGCGAGGCGAGGCATGTCGTTACGGTGCGACTAAGTGTGGGTTGCAGCACAGAATAATAATAAGTACCTGTCTCAAGAGTCAAGCACCATTTTGTTGACAAACGTCAGTGATCGGCACTGCGCCGAAGCTATAGGGCTGACTTCGGTAAAATGATGTGACGTGAGGTGCCAAACTGCGGAAAATGGCGGAGGAAATACATGATTTAGCATGAATTATCATGAATAATATTAATTACTTATTTACCTCTCAGTGTCTTGAGGCAACTTAAAAAAGTACATTCTGTGTTTTTATTATTATTTAGGCTGTGCAGTANTAAATACTGCACAGTATTTAGTTACACCATTTTCTTCCATCATACACAAGAATACGCGTGCGTGAGTCAATGTTCGCTCGTATGTGAGGCCTTGTCGAATAGTATCCTGTAGGTGGGCCATCATGCGTGTTTTGTTTTCGATGTAAACTCGCAGAGATGAACAGGCCTGGTTGCAGTATGGAGTTTCAAACAGAATACTGACCGCCTCGAGTAAGTAGATACGGTTACGATCCCTTTCCGGGTTGATGTGCTACGTCCTTAAATCGCATCAATACGACATATTATTATAGTGACCGACATAGAACATTGATCTATGCGGCACCTGCGAGCGCCTCTCAACGCGATCATCGGCTCGCCTGTTAGTATACTTACACTGTACTTATAAACCTGGCGAAGGTTTGTATGATGAACGGATATTTTAGTAGGTATTCGATTGTTATCTGTTATTGTAGGAATTATTTAGATAGATATTATGGTATACGAAACAAATCGCTGATTCCATCTCAAACTTTCATACAATATTGGCTAACTAAAGTGACCGATTTTCCACCATTTAGGAGGGTAGGGACGTGTATAAAGGGCCTAAGCACTGAATCAATTATTATTTGATCTGATTTGACATTACATGTTATCCTGAGATTAGATCAAATTTAAATTCAAGTAATAGGAAGCAGAGTTCGAAATTATCAAGATAATTACGCTTCATGATAGGTATAAGATACATTTGTCATTTGTTTCATAAGAAATTATGATTACAAATGTTCCTTTATGTTTTTGGTTGCTAATTATTGTCAAGTTATCTATTGCTAGTTGCATAAAACTTGGAAAATAGATAGGTTTTATAACTATCTATGTTGATTAACGCCCACCACTAGACGCAAGTGCGGATATACACGTTCGACAACTTCAAATACAGTTCATTTTCATGAGCTCAATTCTTTGTTATTATCAACCGATAATTGTCATGATAATTATCGTGATAATTGCCATTGATAATTATCCTTTCGAACTCTGATAGGAAGACTAAATGATGTTTGAGATGGAATCAAGTTTGGAGTAAAATTATGCCAGTGTGAAATCATCGTCGTGTGAAAATGTTTCACTTTTTTATATCGATGTGTTAGTTTCACATAATAAACGTATACTTATAACCTTTCCAGATATCCAGCCTTCAAGCCGAAGAACAGAAACCGATCCGTTTCACGGACTCGCCCACGCAATACGCGCACGGCTCGCCGTCGTCCGGCTACGGACACGCGCAGCCGCTGTCCGCCACCGCTACGTCCGGGCTAGGCACCGCCACGTCCGGACTCGGCACGGCTACGTCCGGGCTTGGGACGGCTTATTCGTCGCAGCCGTCGCCGTCTCCTAGACGCACGTCGTCCACTTCGGCTGCCTCAGATCATCTAGCGGATCTATACCATAATTACAGGGAGAACTTTCAGCCTTCGCCTTCACAGGTTAGTGTTAGATGTTTTTCTCAATACTCAATAAACTATTGCATCCATAAATATTTATAATGTAAGTTAATTTTAATTCAACTCTGTTTTCTTTACGTATGTAGACTATTCAAATAATAATAAATATTTTTCTTATTTTTTGAATAGTCTCTCTCTGATTCTGCGTTGAATGTTAGTTATCTAACGAAAGTCTGATCAAGTGATGTGGCTAATGTTGGAAGAAGCATCGTAAGACATTGGTTTCTTCTTGTTGCTACCTACAGTGTTTTTTCAAGTTCTAATAATATAAGATGCAGATTTTAGATAGCGATTCAAAATTATCATTCACCGTTAATTTTTGTTCACATATTTTCAGGATCGAGATTACTACTACCGCGGCGAGAACTTCACGACACCGTACGATCGGACGGCCGAGTACGTGGTCAAGCATCCGCCTTACTACGGCTACGACGAGTGTTCCTTCGAGTACCGCGAGCCGGCGCCCGATTACCGCGCGCCTGCGCCATACCTCGCCCATAGACGCACGCCATCCAACTCCTCGGCCTCCAATTCCCACCCAGAGGAATTTTCTCCTTCGAGACAGTTCCGGCCGACAAAAGAACGCCGGGAGGAATACAGAGCGAAGACGGAATACCCCAAAAAGTCGACGGACTACTCCCTCCCGCGCGATTTCTACCGCCAGGAGACTCAGGAGATCGAGCGCCCCGCTAATCTCGGGTTGGAGTTAGCGCCGACGAAGCTGCGCTCGAGTTTGAAGAAGTACAACAAGAAGTCGAGCGCCTCTGGCGGTAGTTCTGGAGGAGACACCCCCACCAACCCCACGCCTCCCGATAGCCTCACGAGCGAGACGGATTCATCGTACGTTTCCGCGCGAGACGCTTCCAGCGGTTCCGCGTCACGAGTGCGCTTCAGCCCTGACACTTTGGAGGGCGCGCTCGACCGACGGCCGCGACACTCGTAGCGAAGGCTTATGAAGTTCAACGACTACCTCGTTTGATCGCGGACTGTTCACACGCTTGCGGGTAGTGCGGGGAACGCTTCAGCTTTTAGACACGTGTGTTGTGTTCTAATCGTCACCGATTTAGTTGGTGCCCGGGTCCGCGCGATGGCCATATCACCATCCGGTAGAACTGCAATAAGCTATGTATAAATGCGATTGTGTTCATTATTTAACGTAATTTTGTAGTCCCATTGTACATTATGTATATGTATGAAATAATATTGAACGGTATGTATAGAAAGTGCGCGATGACACAATACAGTGCCTATTTGTAGTACGACGTGAATTTAGGATGTATTTTAAATTATTTTTTTTCATTTGTATTATAATGTTGAATGTAATCAGAGAGAAAGATGACGTTATATACAAAATTTGTTATACACACCCAATTTAAATGCAATTTTTGGACACAGATTTATCCTAATCCTTTAGCAATAGGCGCAAAATGCTTAGATTGTGTACAAATTGTAAATATTACAATCGACAAAAGCTTATTTTATATTATACCCAGCATTTATTTTTGTTACAACGTGGGAAATTAATATTTGTTTTTTTTTTTTGTTAAATTATAAATAGTACAAATGTATTTTTAAGAATGTTTTATGAACTATGTGGTTCAGATGAAAAATTATTTTTAACTTTGACGTAAATATAACTTGTATATTTCAACTAACAAGTAATATATTATGTATATCGAGTAAATAATGAGTTGTATGCATTTTGTACAAATAAAGATCAAATGTTAGATATTTTTTACTAAAATATCAGTAATTATAGTTAGATGTAGAAAGAGCAGCTTTTGTATCCCACAGTGAATAATGTTAAATTAGGTAAAATTATTTCTCCTAGTCGGATCTTTGCAAAAGCCACATGTTCAGCAGCTATGGATGATATTGTATTCGATATTATGCCTTTACACTCAAAACACTGGATTTCTTTCCTATTATGACTGTACCGAGTCTCATTTCTTTTAATTTATTTATAAGGCCTATGTAATTGGGAAACATTTAAAATTATCTCACATTTAGCATAAAATTTAATGTAAGATATGTATCGAGAAAGTAATTCTAAAATTAGCTTTGATATTATTAGCTGAAACCAGTGCCTAATGGAAAGGTTTTTGAGATTATGTCATGGAAACGCAGTTTTGAAAGATTTGTAAATTATTATTTTTGTCCCGAGTGTTTTTATAGGCCAGTATTTTCGTGTTCTTTTTGTCTTAGTTTTTGTGCAATAAGTGTAATTATTTTGCGTCCATTATTTTTATTTATTCATATTTTATTTTTATTATAAAAAAATCGTCGTGAATATAACAGTATTTCTTACAGTATTTGAGATTCATTATAAATATTTTATTACTGTAATATTGTATACTTCTATTTAAAAAAAACAATGTATGTATATTATTGTGCTGTGTAGTTTATAATTTATTAAGTTAGCTTGAATCAGTGCCAATATCCAGTGTTTTTCATAATATTGATGTTACTTTGAACTTGATCCCAAGCTTGTTTTGTTTTTAGTACAAACCAAAATCCAACCAAATTATTTTAAGAATCTCTAAATAAGTTTCAGAATCCAAGTCACAAATTGTCTCTTGAGTCAATGAATTATTATACAAGATTTTGTAAATATGGATCGAGATTCACGGCGCGATTACTTAAAACTCTAGTCTTGAAATTTTTATTTAATTTTATTACCTGGCTAGTATTCGAGAGGTTAACGAACGAACGGCGAACGTACTTCGAATAAACTTGTAATTTTTTAACAAATTGTTTGGGCATTCCATTATATTATGTACCTAAAAATAACATTCCATATTTGTTTATTGTCCGAAGTGATTATGTGCTCATATAAGCGTTCATTAGTCGAATGTAAAAGGTGGTTCTGTGTGCCAATAACACGAGGTGGGAGGATGCCTTACATCTGTATGTTAAATCGACAAATAAAAAATAGATTAAGCTTTTTACCATGTCTTATTATTCCAATGTGGATTTAGTAACATTAATATATTCTTAACAAAAGATATTTATTTAATACTTAATGAACAAAAAAGAGATGCAACGGAAAATATTAATTTAGGTACACACACAATAAATAAGGTGATAGTTACAAAAAAACAATATCCTTTTATAAAACGAACAATTTATTAAATACTGAAGAGACAATCTAAAGTATTAAGAATGTGTAATGTATCAGTGCATTATAAAAAAACATAAGATTAAAAAATGTGCTCTTAACAACTAACAATATTTACATTATAGTTCATTGACGGTCTGGATTCACAGGTAAAAAAATAACTATGAACGATGTAGTAGCAAAATATATTTATTCCTATTTATAATAATTGATTAAGATATTATTTAAAGAAACCAAGAGCAGATCTTTATGAACCTACCTGCTATGAATACGTGCGAGTTTGTACTGTAATAAATACTAATAATGACTTGAAATTGGGACACTGAATATTTAAATCTATAGCATGTTCAAAGTTTTACGAAATGAGTTGCCGTTTTTATACACCAATTAAAGAAATAAGATTATGCAGTTTTTTATTAAACCACATAGCTAAAATAGCCTGTCAGTTTGTATAGACAGTTTAAAAAAATATAACTGTTCTTCTTGGATTAATTAAATTCTATTTTATTAAAGGCATACAAGGCAAGGCAAATTGCCTATACATCTAAATAAGTTCTCATCATGCTTTACCCACCCATACCACATCTCTTTCATAACCCAACCCAAGCAAATCATTGAAGGCATATTTAACAAAAAAGTGTAGTGCTTAACAAATTTTTAAAGCCTAATTAAATTATTTCAATCGATGTTACCGGGTTTCAAACCCAATATTAAGTACAACAATTAGAGCACACCAATTATATCACTTGTTAATTTAACATACCTGCCTAAACACTTGAATCGCCTGCTTATTCAACTCGAGTCTATTTGACTAGTTAAAAATGCCTTTGAAATAACATTTCCCCACCCTGCTAAGTAAAGCAAAGTAAGCATGGACGCATAATAAATAACAATCCGATCCTCCTACCGAATCTAAATAAAATGAAAACATTTCCCATGGAAAAAATACTTTACCTGTAGCTGCTCTCCAGTCACAGTCTGAAAAACATTCTGTTTTGCATAATGAATGAGCCTGGTCTAATTGACAAAGCGTTAAAATGTCGTCAATATAATAATATACTAAGGATAAACAAAGGTAAGTAGTCCTACTAGCCCAGCATATCCATGTAGGCTCAAAAACAACATTCAAAATCTACTTCTTTTGTAGGTAGGTAGGGTTATGTTAACATAACACAAGTTAAATAACTCATTATCACCCAGTTTACAACGTCACAATAGTAGCACAGTGAGTGATAGATAACGAATTTGGAAGAATCAACAAAATATTTGAGCGTAAGTGTGGTATTCATACACATAGCAACCAATCAACAATAACCCGTGAAGAAAAAGAACACTCCACCAAACAAATAAATTTTAAGATTTAATAGGCCGTTTTCTATTTTTAGGCGGGAAGAACCAGGATGCGTGCGCTGGACCGGTTGTTATGGAAATCCTCCCTTTGTCCAGCAGTGGACGTCATTTGGCTAAAAGAGAGAGGAGAACTTATTTTTAAAGTACCATTACTTACTTAAGTACCTACCTACGTGTCAACTACAAACCCGCAGGCGCAGTGACAAGGTTTGGCAAAAATTGCATGAAAGGATGAGAGCATCTCTGAAGCTGCCATTTCCAAGATGATGGGATAATTTTATTTGTATGATGTTATAGATAGGGCCAAACAATAACATGAAAACGACGCTAGCGATACCACACAAAAGAAAAGCAAGACAAAGATCCTATATGTTACGGTTATGAGTTATCAAACAGTACCTATCCATCTTTGGTCACGGTTCTGTAAACAAAGAACTGCCACAAGTGTGGCTGAAAACTCAAGACAACCCATCTATAGAGAGCATCTTTTTTATTCCTAATAAGGAAAGTCATCACGATGGAGAATTTTTAATTCTTGAAATATCTAACAATCCAAGGATAAACCCAGGTTAACATTCAATAGGCACACCAAGATTCTTTAATTTTATAAGTTATTACGTATTACAGGCATGTGATGTTACATACATTTGACTAAAAGTTAAAGTCGTTTGTGCTAAATAACAGTAAATGGCACTCGGCCTGCCTCGTAGTCCGAGTTGAACTCTGATACGACCGTTATGAGTGTATTGTACGTACATGGACCTGAGTTTTTTACGAATAGCATCATTAATCCTGTTCCTTAATGTTAAAAAAATACCGGTGGGATATTTTTGAACTGCCAAGATCTAGTAGGTACCTACCTACCTACCCTATTTTTGAAGACTGCTGCGTGCTGGCATCACGACTGTCAGGTCATGCTTCGGTGGCATGACTCTCATTATTGTTTGGCTGAGGAAGTTATAATTAATGAGCTATTATTAATTTCCACACTTGCATAAGAGTGGATGAATATACTGTTATGGGTAACATATTTTTAATTGGGGAATTAATATAGTTACTTACATAAAGCAACAAATTGGGCTTTGGATTCACTAAAAGCTTTTAACCTGCAGCCTTGCACCAATATTTTGGTAAATAGCTTTTAATATTTGTTCCATCTGACAGGAAAACAGAATCCGAGCAACTTGGAGCAGTTTTCCTTTAGTTTTGGAAGATTTTTAACCACAACCCATAGAACAGTGCGTACTTACTGGAATTTAATGAGGGTAGTCCGTAGCATAATATGACTAGCAGCGGCCATCTATGCCAATCTAACTGAAAACCCAATCAGTGACGTCAGATTAATTTCGAATGTATCTTCGTCCCTCGAGACGGTCTCCCGTAGTCTCGAGTTTGAAATCCAATCCATGAAACTGAAGATAAACTTAGTTGCTAAACCTATGAATCCTAATAAAGTCTTGTGCTTGCTTCAGGGAATTCATTTTTAACTCAAGCAGTAAAGGAATATCGATTTGCTAACCGTAGACTTTTGACCATTGCAAATTTTGATGTAGGTAAATAATACTACTTAATTCAGCCTAAGTTAGTCAAGCCTGGTTAAAAACACATTTTTAGTTTATCATAACTCGAATAATATTG